CCCCCCCCCCCAAAAAAAAAAAGATTGGTACATGTCCTCAAGCCCAGAAACAGCTTTTAAGGAGGTCCACCCACCTAGGAGCCTCTGTGCTGGTCCTCAGTAGGCCTCACCTAGGGCTCCCAGAGCTCGGGGCTCATCTGACTAGAGGCCTCTTGGAAACACGGGGAGAGGGGGATTGTGACCGGAAGAGAGAGCATGTTCCCAAGAGCCTGGCCAGGGCTTCTCTCCTACCCGAAGTCTACTGGAGGAACAGAGCTGGTGTCCTCCCCTGGCTCCAAGGAGGGAGGAGGGAGTGAAGACCATGGCAGAGGAGGAGGGGCAGGAGACAGACCACATGGGACATGGAAATAGAGATGAGAGAGACAGAGATGAAGGACACGGGAGAGAGGTGAAGCCTGGGCATCAAAACCAAGGGAGGGATGTAACTGTGGGGGCAGGAGAGCCGGAAACAGGGCCATCTGGGTCTGCATTCCATGGTGCAGCATGGAGTCTTTATCTGGTCCTGCTGCGTGGTCACAGCCCCGGGAGGAAGGACTTGGCTCTGGAGAGGGAGGCCAGGGTGTGTGGACCACAGTCTAGCTGACAGCCGCTGAGCCAGGCTTAGCCTGGATTTAGCTCCCGGACCCTGCACTGTGCCCATTTCCCCCCCACTGCAATCACCTTCCTGTGTCAAGGGGCTTGTCTCTCTGCGCCCCGATGGTCTTGTTTACAAGGAGCATTTAAATAAGGCACCTAGGTCTCCTCCGGAGCCTGAGGTGCTCAGGAAATACAGCCCACACGGAGCTCAAAGTGTGTTGCACGTAGTGTACAGAATGAGAAACTGGCACATAAAGGCGGGCCTTTGTCGGGGAACGCTGAGGGAGAATTGAGGTTCCTACCCACTGTTTCCTGAAGTACGTCTATTGACCAGTCAATATTTCTAGCCAAAGCAAGGAAAACTCATGTAACCTAGGCTGGCCTGAAACTCACCGTCCTACCTCAACCCTCAGCACACTGGAACTATTGGCACAAACCACGCTTGGGCTCACAAACCTGACTCTGGGTAGAAGGCTCTCTGCCTGCAATTAGCAAACGTTGCCACTAGGTGGAGCTGGCTTCCTCCTGCGCAGGAAGGACCGTCAATCCCTCGTCCATTCCTAGAAAATGCCTTTCGGGAACAGAAAGACAGTCTCCAAGGATTTTTGTAGTCAGCAATGTCTGCTCCAGGTGATGGAGTGGGACTGGACCTCCTGCATGCCAGGCAGCCCACAGGAGTGCTTCCCATATACAGGCAGAACTTCCTAGAATGAGCAGAACGCCTTTTAAAAGGCTGGAGAATCCTCATTGGAAGGATCAGTCACTGTTTAGGGTGGCTAGAGAGGAAGGTTTGGTTCCCAGCACCCACACGAAGGTGCACAACCGCCTCCAATCCCAGTTTCAGGGGATCTGATGCCCTCTCCTGGCCTTTGGGGGCACTGCATGCATGTGGAACACACGTATGCAGGCAAAACAAAACAAACAAAACCCCTATGTATATAACGTAAAAATTAAAAAGCATTGTAGTTGGGTGGTGGTGGCACACACCTTTAATCCCAGCACTCAGGAGGCAGAGGCAGGCAGATCTCTGTGAGTTCGAGGCCAGCCTGATCTATAGAGCAAGTTCCAGGATAGGCTCCAAAAGCTACACAGAGAAACCTTGTCTCGAAAAACCAAATGAATAAATAAATAAAATAAAAAGCATTGCTTTGGGAATGAAGAAGACAGTAGGTGTTTATGCAGCAGGAGACTTCATCAGGAATGGTGCAGAATTTCAGGTTTTTCAGTTTGAGTGGTTTTAATTTG